CCCCCCCCCCCCCTGTTTTCCGGAGAGCCGATCGATGTACACACATTCCCCTTCCCCCCCTCGCCCGGAACCGGGAACGATCTGCCGGCGAAAAATGCCTCACGCACCCCGAAAGCGTTGGCATGTACCTGCCAATGGATCCGCATACCCGAGAGGATCGAGACCCCGCCCCGCGAATGAGAGCCCGCGACGGCGAGGGGCATGTGGGGGGGGGGAGGGCCAAGGAGGGGCAGAAAACAGGCGCATCTATATTTCGCGCGTGCGCGCACACAAGAAGCGAGCAAGAAGATGGGCCACCAAGGAAAGGAACAAGGGGGAGAAAGGCAGACAACAAGGGGTGGGGGGGGGGGGAACAGAGCCTCTGAGAGAGCGGAAGATAAAGAGAGGCACATTCCCCCCGCCCGAGGGGGGGAGGGGGGGCACACATGCAAGGGAGAGGGGCCACAGACAGGTCACGGCCCCGGCATCAGGGCGCCGCAACGGCAACGACCGTGGCCACGGCTCCAGACGAGACCCAAGAAATCAGCAGGGCCGTGGTGCCGAGCAGCGCACTCAGCACCAGGGCCGAAGCAAAGGGGCTGGCGGTGGCGGCCACCGGCGGGGGGCCACCACTAGCACCATGCCGTCCCGTGCCGGGTGCGGCCGCCGACGCGCGTGCCAGCGAGGACATGGATTCCGAACGAGTGAGGATGCCAGTGCCATTAAGGCGGTGCCCGCCGCCGCCAGGGGTGGAGGCCAACTGGCCGCCTCCTCCTCCGCCTGCCGGATGCAAACCTCGGTGGTGGTGGTGCTGTGTGGACCAGTGGTGCACACCGGGCCCCGGGGCGCCGGCCACATCCAAACGGTTCATGGCCCGGCCACGCAGGAGGGGCGAGGGCTGGGGCGACACGCGGCCATCATGCGCCCCGCTGAGGAAGCCCCCACTGCGCAGGAACATCGACAGGAGCGGCACCTGTAGCAAAAGCCACTCCACCAATAGCCAGACCGACGCGGCAGCCGGGTCGCCGGCCGTGGTCGACATGCCCCGAGGCACGCCAGCCAGCGAATCGACGCTGCCACTGCGCGAGAGACCGGGCCGCGGGTCGGCGGGACCCGGCGCGGCCGACGTCGAGTCCGCCGCGCCAAACACCGACGGCAGCAGGTACCCGGCCACGGACCAGGCCCCGGAGGCAACGCTCTTGAGCAGGGACCCGACGCCCCAGCCACCGGAGGCCACAGGCGTCTCGGGGACCGGCGCAGGAGCGGGAACAATGACGGCGGCCTGTCTCGCGGACCGCGACCGCGATCGAAGAGAGGGAGGGAGGGGGGGAGAGAGCCGGACGTAGGAGGTCAGTTTGAGGGGGCCTATCAGGAGGATGCCCTCCTGGAGAAAGAAGGCCACCACAGCAGACCGAGCCGGAGGGGGCCAGGGATGGGGGAGGAGGGGGAGGGGGGGAGAGCATGTGTATGTGTGTGTGAGAGTGTGTGTGTGTGTGTGTGTGTGAAAACGCACGGTGACGGGCTCCTTGTTGATGGCCACCGCCGGGGCCAGCCGCTGCCCAGGAGGCGGGAGCTTGAAGTGCTCCAGAGCATGGATCGGCCGGTCCTGGTTGCGGGAGTCCTCGCCGCCGGTGAGGTCGCCAATCGGACCGCCCGCGACGCCCCGGGCGGTCGAGGAGGACGAAGAGCCGGAGGAGGAATCCAGCTCGGCGGTCAGCCGGCGCGCGGCCTCCATGGTCTTCGGCACCAGGCGCTGAAGGGTCTTCTTGGCATTGAGCAATGTGCCGCCGGTGGTACCGGCACCGGACATGCCACGGGCCGCGGCGGATGACGCCGGCGCCGGGTACGGCTGGCTCAAGCGCGCCGGGCTGCTGCTCACGCCGCGTACCCCGGAGAGGCTGAGCTTGCCAACCGGCCGGGGGGTGGCCGGGGCAGCGGCCGGAGCGGCCACCACCGGCGCCGGCGGAGCCAGATGCTCCTGGGTCACCTCCACCAGCAGGGGAATCCACCACTTGTAGAAGAACTGATAGGCGCTGATGGCGTGCGGCCGGATGGTGGACCAGAGGAAGAAGCTGTGATAATTGTCCACCTGCGCGCGGACCGACACGGACACCCGGCCGGCACGCGGGACGGCCACCGGGGCGGGCTTCTTGGCCGGGGGGGCCACGCGCGCCGGCGTGTGGGTGCCGGTCCGTGCTGGCGAGGCCGCCAAGTGGAAGAGCCCCGGGAAAACCGGGCGCGGGACCTCGGAAAGGCCCTCGGCATGGTCACGCCCCGGGTGCTTGCGGAAGGACAGCTGCAGCAGGCTGGTGGGGGCCGCCGAGTCGAGCGCCGGGGCCGGAGCCAGGGCCAAAGAGCCGGCACTGGCCGTCGGAGTAGCCAGACCGGTCGGGGACTCCGGCTCGCTGAGGCCATCGCTCTCGGACGAGTGGTGATGGTCGGCCCCCAGGAGCCGGGGCCCGGCCGCGTGACGGAAGAGATGGTCCACCGGCGAGTCGGCCTGGAGGGGATAATCGTCGATGGTCGAGGCAAGAGGGCCCCCCCGAGCCAATGGTGCATGCCGGGGAGTCGACGTGCCGGAGGGGCTCGGGGAGGGGACCCCACCATCGTCCGAGTCGGACTCGGCGTCGGCGTCGGCGTCGGCATTGGCGGTGGCCGCATCGGCGAGCTGCAAGTCCTGCTCGGACATCGAGTCGACCACCGTGGCCGACTCGTCGAAGATCGGCTTAATGGTAACCAGGATGTTGGCCTCGTAGTCCGCGTGGCAGGGGCCATTTTGGGGCTTGTTTTTGATCCAGAGGCGGAAGCTGACAAGCAAAGGCACGCGGCAGGGAGGGGGGGAGGGGG